GCAGCCACCCGGGGACACGCGGTGCCCGCGTCCTCCCGTCTCCAGCCTCTGTCAGGCTTCTCGTGGGGAGCCCACACTTAGAAATGGCCTCGCTAAAATGCACTCACTCCTCTAAAAGTGGATACGTTTTTAAAAATAATACTTTGCTCCCCAAAATAGGTATGTGGCAGATTAGCTATTCAAGGTTGTAACAGTTGTTTCTGGATACAAGTAAGTTCTTTATTCTCAGTTCTAGCTGTTTGACGGCACCGTAGAGAAACTTCTGCTTTTCAGTCTGGTAAGGTCTGTTTCCTGAATAACTTACTTCTGAATAACTTTGTAAATCTAGTGTTTAAGCAGTTTTTTTCCAACATGCTTCACCTAAATGGTCTTCTCTAACACAACCTCACCTGAACTTGACTGCTCTGTGGCTGTCAGTAAAATATGATTTTTTTTCTCCTATCCATCTTTCTATAACGCTCTGTGAGCCTGTGAATCACCTATCTTTAATAATCACCTTAAAGCGTCTATCTTTCTCTTTGGCATATATGCCTGAGTTCATCTGCAAAGCATTTTGTGGCATTCACTGTGTAAAGCATTGGCTGAAAACTGCTTCACAGGCATGCAGGGCCAGGGCAGAGAAGGGAGGCTGCCTGCAGCCTTTTGCCTCATGCATTGCCCGTTCTCATTTCTGTGTTTGAGTAGAGAGATTCATAGCTGCTAAAACGGAGTTACAAGAGAGCATCTCTTCCTGCAGAAAAGAAGGGTTTCGTGATAGGGAAATGGTGACAGAAACTACAGGGCGAGGCAAGCCAAGTAACGAGACTGCATTAGGTGTTTACAGAGCAGATGGCACCCGTGGTTCCCTTTGTTTCATTAGAGTCTCTCCTCTGATCCCCTGTAAGGAAGAAAAGAGAACCGGGAGTTCTGGCACGGGCTGTGAAGGCGGGATGGCTTCGTGGCAATCACGTTGGCCGTAATGTAGAATCAGAGAGAGCCAAAGAGAGAAGGAAGCCAGAGGGTGGGCAGGAAGGGAAAGCTGCATCTTGAATTATTTCTTGGTGAGATAAGAAGAGAGTAAGCTTGTCATGTGGAATGACAGTGCGAAGGCATTCCAGGTGGCAGGAATGTGCAGTGGGTTTTGTGAACCCTGCACTAAGATGGAGGAAGAAAGTCTCTTGGGCTTGTTACCTAATTCTTTCCTGTTTTTTTCCTACCAACGCAGACCCGCTGGGAGATGGGACACGAGCACTGGGAGTAGGGAGCAGTCCCAGGATGGCAACTGTGGCCTGAGAAAAGCTCAGGCTGCCAAGTCAGTCTAGGACATACTGGCAGCTTTCTGTGGGGGGAAAAACACCCCAGAACACCAGCCAGCTCCAGGATCTTGGATTTCAGGCTGCCCCTAAACATCCACAACTACAGGTAGCATCACCTGTGATACAAATGAGAGCAAACTCATGCTTGTCTCCTGTTTTTACCTCACTCTAAATTCACAAACCTTTGAGAGCAAAACCCTGCTAAGTGCAGGGCACCAGAGCAAGCCCCCAGTCTGAGGTCCTGGTGCCAACCTGGTCTGCCTGAGCAGACCCCCAGCCTGGGAAGTGCTGTTCACAGCTGTTCTTAGGAGCTGTCTTTTCACACACGTAAAAAAGTAAATACAGTTCTACCTCCAAGCTAGGTCTAAGTGAAGAGGGATGTCCCTATGTGATGTCTTTCTCTCTTGCTTTAAAGTCTCCTTTGGCAATGCTAAGGTGGCTTTCCTTGTTTTTTATCCTGACTCAAAACTCTTCCTGTGATGGGAAGGGAAATCAACACCAGTCAGGAGTTATTTTCTTATTTTGTGTGCCCCAGGGTGAACATTTTCCTGTTATTTGCAGGAACATGCTGCTGTCTGAGGGCCCTTGCTGGCCTCATGGCCAGCTTGGTTGCCAAAGCCCCAGATGCAACCAACTGAACTGTGAGACTTGTCACATTTAGATGTAGTGTGTAACTTCAGTGACAGTTTTAACCTCAGCCTTTCGAAGCATATTTACATGCATTCTTACATGATCAGGCAGGCTCTTGAGCGAAGAACATCCATATTTGCACTAGCTAAAGCTTTGTGGGGAAATGCCAGACCCTTGGAAGGGGGAGCAATGCATTTGCCTGTTTTACATAGAGATTTGCATAAATGAAATAAGTTCACGGGTACTCTATGTGCCTGTATGTCTATCAGTATAACAGATTACTCTGAATTATGTGCAATCTTTTTCTAAGGAGACAGGAGTATTTTGTGGTGTTTCAGGAAGGGGGGGTGGAGACGGGAAGTCCCTGTGCCCCACCGTGGAGCCGCAGCTGGAAATCAGAGCACAGACTTAAGAAACTGATTGAAAAGAGCACAGGGAGGGCACAGTTGGCAACGGGAAGGGGGTTCTGCTGGAGGGGATGTGGTTTCCTGTGCTGAGAGGTGGACGCTGGATGCATCTTGGTTCATAAGGTAATTATTAGCTTATGAAGAAGAATCCCAAAGGATATGGTGGGAGCTCCACTGCCTGCCACGTTTACTGTCAAATTGGACAAAACATTAGGAAACATTTACCAAGATGGGCTATCAGGCTGCTGACTGCTTTCATCTCTGGCTCCATGAATAAGAAAACAAAACCTGAAGTTATCTGCTCCTCCCTGCTCAGCAGTTCAGTGAGGACATCAGCTGCATTTTAACCCTTTCAAGACACTTTGGATTCCCCTGCTCTTTAAGGTGAATTTAATCTGCTTTCTTAAGGTTTTCCGGGTTGCAGAGGCCCTCTGGTCTCAAATGCAGGACGCAGAGATGCACAAACACAGGCAGCACCTCCAGCACAGCCTCCCACGGTCCCGTCCGGCTGCGCCGAGCTCCCGGGCCAGCTGCCTTTACGGGGCTCTCGCTTATCCAGAGCTTCTCCCAGCTCTTGTGATAAATGACTCACGGGTCGGCGAAGGTCTCTCCCTGAGTTGTTCTTTGCTTTATTACCCCCAAACTATCGCAGATCCAAACAAAACATAGATATACCCTTCCCCGCTTGCTCTCACCACCGTGGAATGTTTTTCAGGAATTCAGCCAGTGTCTTTTTGCGGTTCGAGCTCCCCTTCCCAGGACTGTTTTCCTCCAGACTACTCTTCCACATCAGGGATCAGCGTTTTTTTTTATTCCGAGAGCCAATTTCCTCCACCTTTGTCTGGGCCCTTTGTCACAGACATCTCTTTTCCCCAAAAACCTAGTGCTATTGTTCCTCCTGTGTCCCCCCCCCAGCTTCTGAGCCTCTGTGGCCAAACGCTGACACCTGGTTTCTATGTCCTTCTGTTGCAAAGTCCAGCCTTCTGCAGAAAAGCTAGAGAAAACTAGTCCTCCTGCCTTCAGCCAGCCAGCTCTGCAGAACTGCTCCTCTTTGCCTCCCCACGACGGTGCCTTCAGCCTCTTCTGCAGAGCCTTTCTGCACAGAGCTCTGACACCAGAAGGCTGGTTGAGGTGCGCAGCAAGCAGCAATTTAATAAAATCCAGCCACGTGTCCCAGGTTTGTGCTTCAGATGCCCAGCTCAGCGCAGCTGGCGTCACGCAGCTTGTGACACCGAACTGCTCCGCGTCCAGCAGCTCCGGGGCTGCTGGGGACTCGTGGCTCGGGCCGCTCCCCAAGCGACACCTTCTGCACAGACCGCTCACGCGCAGTAGTTGCACCCATGTGCTATGTCTTCTGTCGTTTATCGCCAACCTTGCTGTTGTTTTGGGTTTCTACAGTGTCATTTCTTTGAGATTGTATTTTTAAATCCTTCCAATGTTCAGACTGAAGACCTGCACTTCTCCTGCCTGAGCTAATGGGCGAGTTTTCACTTGGCTCAATGAAAACAGGGCAAGATACTCCCCGAAGCCTCAAATCCCATTCACGTAGTAAAAGGAATTGGATTTAGCCCAGAATACGAGATGGGAAAGACCCATTAGATCACTTAGCCCCTGGTATTATACAATCTGGTGGTTTAATGAGTCTAATTTTAAATGCCTTAAATAACAGGACTGCTGCATTT